TGCAGGTAGTGGGTGAAATGAAGTAATCAGAGATGGAACTACACTACAAGGTTTGATGGAAAGAAGCAGATTAATGCATTGTTTTGTAAGTGTTTTTTTCCTTCTGCGATGGACAATGTGTTTTCAAGGCTACTGTATTTTTCTTTATAAAGCTACATGTATTAACTACTCCAGAGTAAAGACATTTTCCTTTATACTCTGTGCAAATCAACTTGGGATCTGGAGCTGGGAGGACTGCTGTGTAGATTCAATATAAACTAACAAACCGCAACATACATGGCCATCTGTCCAGACAGGATTGGTCATGTACTTTTGTCTGGGAACAACAGGGGGATGTGCCTGGGTTATACATATCTGTCCCTCATTGCTTTTATCATAAAAACATAGGGAAAGTTGATTACATGGCAAAATCTTTGTTTGTATGTCACAAACTTAATTCAACATGTAGAGGATGAAGTTTCTCTTGCCAGCAGAAAGTTTTTGCCCTCTAGTCAACTGTTGCCATGTTTTTTGGATACAGCCAGTTAGGAACCAATATGTATAACCCAGGAAGAAACCAACATATACAACCCTGTATTTTCTGAGTGTAAGCACATGCAGATATTCAAATATCCACATTTTCTGCCCAGAACCAGGATAATCCCACAACTGAAAATTTCATGTTTTTAGTGATTTGTAGCGATTTCTCTCATATTTTCAGGGGACATCATTTGGCCACCCACTATTTTGAACTGGGAGCTCCTGAGATAAAGGTATTGTGTGGATGAGCCCTGAGTGTTAGGATTATTTGTAGCATGTAGCTATGGCATTTAAAGTGATACACCTAGAATCTGTGATTCATGGTTTTTTCTTTTTCTTTTAGGAGCTGGGATGGGGATAATGGCACCAATCTGTACGACTGTATTTCCTGAAGATGATGGGTCCTTGCAGCGTAAGGTGAAAGTCTTGTTACGGATTCCAAGTCAGTTCCAGGCCAGTCCTCCTTCCCCTACTGATGAAAGCATTCGAATTGAAGAACGAGAGGAAATAAGTGTTTACTCTACGTAGGTATCCTAAGACAGTTCTGAGAGAAACTTGGTATAGTCATCCACTTTTTAGATTTCATGAGGATCTCTAGCATTATTTATAGATCACTGTTGTAGATATACAGGATATACAGACCTCTTTCTCCATCGTAGCTTCTGTTGTCCCATATGGTGATTTCATGGGGCGAGAGGGGAAGAATGTAGGAGGCATTCATATGAGCCAAAATCCTGGTTTTCAAGTGTTTCAGATCATGAGGTAAGACTTTATAGACTGAGAAAGTTATATTTTTCTTAAAGTCACCATTTGGAATATGGTGAAGACAATACACTCCCCTTCCTCACAGTTTTAAACTTCCCAATATCATTGAAAATCTGCACCTCTGGAGGCATGGATTCATTGTGACAATATACATTGCATTGTTGGCTTACTGTTGTTGTTTTTTACCTGATATCAAGTCAGCTTCAATGTATAGCAGGCCTATCAATGAGGGATTTCCAAGTCACCCTGTTATCAACAACTCTACTCGGATCTTGCAGACCCATGGCTGTGTTTTCCTGGATTGAGTCTATCCATTTGTGATGTGGTCTTCCACTTTTCCTACTGCCTTCTACCTTAACATACATTACCATCTTTTCCAGTGTTATGTCTTCTCATGATATATCCAAGGTACAATAGTCTCGGTTTAGTCATCTTGACTTATACGACACTGTAAAGTGCCACATGCTCTGAAGGCACAAGTTAATAGGTATTCATTTGTTTCTTCTCTGCGCATATACAGCTAAGATTCAGTTGATCCCCATCCAGTAACCAGAGTTCAGAACTCCACCGTGAAAGACATAATGGAATGCTGCTGAACCTGTGCAACATACTCATTTGTTTACAATTCCCCAAGAGTGTATCTTTGGAAGGAAAAATAACTCTTGAGCATAAATGAGTTCAAAGAGCAGAGCTTTGTGTGATAAGTACATATTCTGTATTGTGCTTTTGACCTGGGGGTGACTGTTGTTTAATATAAAAAACACCAGCATCTAGGTTCTGATACATGTTTGTGTGTGATTTGGGCCTCTTTCACACTATCCATATTCCACTTTAGTTACTATGACAACCTCCTATGGAATGCTGAGGTTTGCAGTTTAGAGGGATATGTCACGTTCGCAGCCAGAGAATTTGAGTATTTCTATTTACAAACCCAAGGATGTTGCAATGGCAATGAAAATGGTTTATAGCACTATAATTGTGTAGTGTGAAAGGTTAGCCATCCTAGAGCCCTTACATCTTTAGATCTGCCCTACGGAGGATTTGTGCACTCTTTGTGGATTAGGTTGGAACACTCTTTTCAGAAAATGGATGTACAGAGAATGGGATGTATCTTTGCTTAGCCACCTGTCCCAGTGAAATATGTGCACAGATGTTAGGTTTGGGATGTTGTGTATTTTCTGGGCTGTATGGCCATGTTCCAGAAACATTATCTCCTGACGTTTCGCCTGCATCTATGACAGGCATCCTCACAACCTCTGAGGATGTTGTGACCTCACAACCTCTGAGGATGCCTGCCATAGATGCAGGTGAAATGTCAGGAGAGAGTGCTTCTGCAACATGGCCATACAGCCCAGAGAACACATAACACCCCAGTGATTCTAGCCATGAAAGCCTTCAGCAATACGATGTTGGGTTTGTTAACTGAAATACAGTTTCTGTCTTTCTTTACCACCTAGATATCTCTCTATATCTGTAGTAGTATAGTCTTTATGTTCTAAATGTGGATTATGGGAGTTGTAGTACAAAATGTCAGGAGAGTAGCAAGCTGGATACCATCTTACAACTTCTCTTATGTTCCAGGAAATCTCTGGTTAGTGACAATCTGCCGTGGTTGTCAATATCCTGAAATTAAAATAATACAAGGCTCAGGAGCAGAGTTGAGTTATTTGAGCTTTAGTTCTGAATTACTAGAACATTTCTTCCCCCTCTTTTACAACAGTGTTGTACCAGGCTCTAGAGTGCTAAATCTATTTGTAATAACTTCATGGAGAAAAGACAGGCTTGTCAGTTTTGATGTGACAGTTCTTTTGAGCAAAGCCAAGGGAACATGAACAAATTCTTGGCTGATGCTTCCGGTTGGGAAACAGGTTTATGCACATCCAGGGAAATGCCAATCTAGATCATCCAAACACAAGTGGCCTTTGGATGGCACTCTTATGTCAAGAGAGAGCTAAACTTTAGTGTGACTATTATGACACAGTCTGCTGTCAAGGATCATCTTTCAAAATGAATTTCTCCCCTCCCCCATACACATACCATCCAAGAAAAGACTGGGGATCAACTTTAATTATATGGACACCGTGAATGGAATATGAAGCCATGATTCCCTCATTCTGTCTGAATGTCTGACGTGGAATGTCATGTTGGGGCTTTCCAGCAAATGTTCCCTTCAGATCAGTTGCCTTAGCCATCATAACACTTCATGCCTTTATGGTAGATGGTTCTCTTGAATGACATCTCTGGAAATTGGCACTAAATACACATATCGATTCTGGCCATGACTGACACTTGGGCAAATAGGAGCTGAGCCTACTTTTTTTCCTTCCCCTATTCTTTTAACAAAGCACCCAAAGTCCCCCAAAGTTCTTTTCATAAATTCTCACTCCCTAACTGGGAATGTATTAGATTTGTCATTTGACTAATTGGATGAAGTTTCTATTTGTGAAAAGTGATGAGTTAAAAGGCAGGATAAATGAGACATGTTTTGCCTTTTGAAGCAAATTATCAGTTTTGTATTCTGTACCGTGTATGCCTTCCTCAACATTTCTTTGATGTGATAACAGCCTTTTAAGGTGTCATCTCAGTTATTATTGGAGAATCACAAAGTAAAAAAAAAAACCCTTTTCAGCCTTCAGTACAGTATACAATGAGACACAGTGTCAGAAGATCATATGTCCTGTATGTTTAGTTAAATAGCAGCCACTCTCCCCCATGCTCCATACAACTATGACTGATGCTTTCTAGCATGATATAATGGGCCCTGTCTACATGGCCATATAACACACTTTCGTAATGAACTGGATTATATGAGTCTACACTGCCATATAATTCAGTTAAACTGCATTCTGAAGTGGCATTTTATGGCAATGTAGATGGGGTCATGGTTTGAGCCCTGGACTATGAATCTGGAGGCCAGGGTTAAAATCCCTGTTTGGCTATTGAAATCTTGGGCAAGTCACATTTTCTCATCCTCAAAGACAACCTGCCTCTGAAACAATCCTACCAAGAAAACGACATGATAGGGTTGATAGGGTTGTTACTATTGAAGGCACACAATAGTAACAACAAGCAATAGCAACAATAGGAGAAAGGTGTAATTTCCATATTTAAATTACTGCAGGAGATGGTCCCTCCTGAAAACAGGACAGGAAGATAGACTCAATTTTCCACAGAATTATAGTCTCAGCTAGCTCATTCAGTTGGCTTCTATTTTACTTCGAGGGAATCAGTTGCACATCTGCTATCACATTAGGTTTGACCCAGACAAACCTGGTTACATGTCAACCAAGCCTTTTCCTTCTTCATCTAGGGCAGGCATGGGCAAACTTCGGCCCTCCAGGTGTTTTGGACTTCAACTTCCACAATTCCTAACAGCCAGTAGGCCTGTTGGGATTTGTGGGAGTTGAAGTCCAAAACACCTGGAGGGTCAAAGTTTGCCCATGGTGAATCTAGGGCTTCTGGGAAACTACAGCTCCCAGATTTTCCAGCCCTCGTGGCCAGTGACCCTGCTGGCAGGAGGGTGCTAGTAGCTGTAATTAGAGTTGCGGTGATAAATTTCGAAATGCAGGCCTACATTATGACAATGTTAATTGTAGCACTTCTCAAGGAGGGTTCAAACAGGCAGCTATATAGTGCTGTATATTATTAAAAATACTCCAGCACCTTTTATCTCTCTTAACTCCTGTCCACACCAAACCAAACAATCTCTGAATGCTTACAAGAGGAGTATGTTTCTAGGAAAATCACTTCCCTATTCAGCTGCTGTGGGTGTAACTCAGCAAAAGTACAGGTCTCACTTATCCAACCTAAATGGGCCTGCAGAACATTAGATAAGTGAAAATGTTGGATAATAAGGAGAGATTAAGGATAGCCTATTAAACATCAAATTACGTTATGATTTTACAATTTAAGCACCAAAACATCATGTTTTACAACAAATTGACAGAAAAGGCAGTTCAATACATGGTAACGGTATGTAGTAATTGTTGTATTTACAAATTTAGCACCAAAACATCGCAATGTATTGAAACAGCTGTAGATCCAGGCAGGAGGCAGAATGTTTTGGATAATACAGAACATTGGATGAGTGAAGGTTGTGTAAGCGAGACTCTGCTGTACAAGAGGATGATGAATTGTATCATAGTCCTGTGAATCTCACCTGTTGATTTATGGCCACCCCATGAATTTCATAGGATGTTCTTTGTGCAGTGTAGTCTACAACACACGGTGTTCATTGATACTCTCCTGTCCAAGTGCCAAGCAAGGATGATCCTCTTAACTTCCAAGATCAGGTAGGCTCTAGTGCAGTGGTTCTCAACCTGAGGTCCCCAGATGTTTTTGGCCTACAACTCCCAGAAATCCCAGCCAGTTTACCAGCTGTTAGGATTTCTGGGAGTTGAAGGCCAAAAATATCTGGGGACCCCAGGTTGAGAACCACTGCTCTAGTGTCTACCACCTAGCTAATCCAAAATGCCATGTCTTCAACCATTTGAGCCCTGGCTCCACAACACAATTGGTTGTGATCCAAAAACAAAAATAACATCTCCAAACTCTGTGGCTGTCATTAGTCTTCTTACTCTAGAGTGCTCTGTGCAGCAATACAGATATACTATATTAATGGTACAGAAAATGCATTCTGCATATCCCACAACCAATCAACATGATGCACAATCCAGCAGGCAGCTCTCTTCTGCAAATTACTTTCATGAAAACAGGGCTCTGAAGGGCTCCATAGAATAGGTAGTTCTTCTGCACAAATTACTTTGGGGTAAATTGGGCTCCCCAAGATCTTTTTTTCTGCCTGAAGAGAAATCCAAGAAAGGTCCTCTTCATTTCATTCACAGAAGCTGACTGGAATGGCAAATGAATCTTCCTTCAACACTATTAATGGGAAAGGATCCTCCTTCAAATCTCAGATTAATTTAGGACAGGGTTTTTCTAACTGTGCTCCTCCAGATATTTTGGACTTCAGCTCCCAGAAATCCCAGCCAGCCTATCAGTTGTTAGGAACTCTGGGAGTTGAAATCCAAAACACCTGGAGGAGCACATTTTGAGAAACTGGTTTAGGCGATGCCAGACAGTGCTGTGGTCAGGGAACCCAGGAGACACAGCTGGATGCTTTTGCGTCAGTTTGTGTCACATTAAACCAAACCTATGGCACAACTACACTCTTCTACCATAAAATTCCTTTTCATTTCAATGTGATTTGTACATAAGATTTTATCTTACGATTCAAACACGTCTTATGATTCAAACATAACCTGAACATTAGGAAGAACTTCCTGGCTGTACAAGCTGTTCAACAGTGGAACTCTCTGCCTCAGAGAGTGGTGGAAGCTCCTTCCTTAGAAACTTTTACGCAGAGGCTGGATGGCCATCTATCAGGGATACTTTGTGCTTTTCCTGCATGGCAGGGGGTTGAATTAGATGGCCCAGGTGGTCTCTTCCAACTCTATGATTCTATGAAAACTTCCACCTTGTGGTGAGATCTGTCTCTGGCTAGATAGGAAGTACATTGCAAAAAGATGCTTACTAACCTCTCTTGAAGAAATAGTCCTGCTATTTTCCTTCCTTTTTCTGTTTTTCTTATATTCACTTTCTCTTTGGGATCAGTCCAAATATCATCCTCTGGAATTGTTTTTCTCTTTGTTCCTAGGCAATTTGGAGGTTACGCCAAAGAAGCAGATTATGTGAATTATGCAGCCAAGTTGACTTCTGCCTTAGGAGACAAGGAGGACTACCATAAAGACTTCTATTTTTGCAATGGTTATGATCCTCCCATGAAACCCTATGGGAGACGCAATGAGGTTTGGTTACTGAAGAAATGAGCAGCTCAAGAAGCCTGCACCAGGATTTCCTTAAGTAGGCAGGGATAAAAGGAAGGAGTTTGAGATCTTCCGGGGAGACCCTGCTCTCGATCCCGCCTGCTTCTCAAGCTCGGCTGGCGGGGACGAGAGATAGGGCCTTCTCGGTGGTGGCTCCTCGGCTGTGGAACGCCCTTCTACGGACATTAGACTAGCACCATCTCTAATGGTATTCCGCAAAAAGGTGAAGACCTGGATGTTTGTGCAGGCGTTTGAGTAATTTAGTGCAATCTGGTAATGGAACATAGGAATGGAACAATGGACGACGAACCTGGACTACGCTTGGATGATGAGAAGATTGGGTACGGTTGTTTTTTGTAATAATTGTGCATTGTAATTGCTTATTGGTAATTTATGGATAATGTGTTAAGTCAATTGTTATATGTTGTATGGAACCACTGCTGTTTCTACTGTTTTTACTGTTTGTGAACCGCTGTGAGTCGCCTTCGGGCTTGAGATACAGCGGTATATAAGCAAAGTAAATAAATAAATAAATAAATATCCTCATGCTTGATATGATGTGGTTATTTTTTGAAGTTCAGCCATTGTGTTTTGGGTAAAATGCTTTGATTCAGAAGCTGTTTGTTTTTTCTTCATAAGACATGAGTGTAATTTCATTGACTGCTCCCTACCCAAAACAGAATGATAAAAATGAAATGCAGTTGTTCCTCCACATTCACAGTTTAGGCCTTTACAGATTTGTCACAATGGGAAGGGGGCAAGCTTATTTACTGCTGACTAGAAAATGAAGCAATGGATTCATATTAGGTAGAGACGTTCCACCTAAACATTAAGAACTTCCTGACGATAAAAGCTGTTTGGCAATGAAATATGCTGCCTTGGAACATGGTGGAGTCTCTTCTCTGAAGGTTTTTAAGCAGAAAGTTGATAGCTTGGATTCTATTTTTCTGCCTGGCAGGCAGTTGGACATGATGGCCATTGTGGTTTCTTTCTGTGATTTGATGACTAACATATTCTCTAGGAATCTCTAGGGCCTATGGTGTGGCTCTATGGTTAACTTCCTCCAGTCATGCTGAAGGAATATCTAGAGAGAACACCAGTCCTGGAATCTCTAGGTCCTCCAGAGAGATTCAATGGTCAGCTTCCAGTGGAATTCAACAGTAGAGTTTGGAAGACCTAAATATTCCTAGAGAGGTGTTCTTTCAGGTTAAAAAATAGTTTCTTTATAGCTTTCACTTTCACAGTGTCCTGTGCTCCTAACTCCAACAAATGTGGAGGGCTGACTGCATATTTCAGGGCTGGCTGCCCTATTATCTATATAAATAAAAATGTAATGTTAGTTTGTGGGATTAACATAACTCAAAAACCACTGGGTGAATTGACGCCAAATTTGGATACAATACACCTATCAGGCCAACGAGTGACCATCACTCATAAAAACACTGAAAAATACAGCAGAAGAGACTTTAAAAGCCAAAAATAAAAAATACATTACAATGCATGCGCATAACCACATAAATACACATATACACAAATATATACACACATATATATTATACACGTATACACACACAAAACACATATACACAGACTGGGCCACAGCAATGCGTGACAGGGAATGGCTAGTATAGAATAAGAAAATAGTCTCAGTCAGCAGATGTTTGGAGGCAGCAGCTGCTTAATCATTTTTCCTTATTCCCACAGCCATTCCCTTCATCTGGAGTACCGGCCAATGTGTTTTATATGGTTTGTCCTCCCTATCTCCAAACTAGTCTTCTTCTGGGTAGTGATAGAAGACCCTGTGCCATCACCAATGTTCACATAAAATGCAACTGGCAGTCCTTTCCCCTTTAACAGAAGGAATGCGTGGTGGGGTGCACCCTTTTGTCCTTTGTGCCACCTCAAAGCAGCTTGAGCCATTCTGGATATGCTAAAAATTGTGCTAAACAATATTTAATGAAGATCAGTGTCTTCAAAACATTTTAAATGTACTTCAGAAGTGAGTAGCAACAGAGCAAAGGACTAGCTTGATTTCCTTCTTGTTATAGAACAAAGTGCCTAATTTCAAACTAACCCATCCTGTCTGCATTCCACCAATTCCTCTTACTCTGAATCTGGAATGCAAATGATATCAGGGATCAGATCTTTGACTGAATATGTTTACACTTCCTCCTGACATGTAGCCTCACTGTGTCAAACATTGCTTTCTCCAGAGCTGCCCAGAGAGATCATGAACCAGCTGTACCATCTGCAATCCAGCAGTGTTGGCATCTGCTAACAGATGGGTATTTCCTGAAGGCATTGCCAACCTGTTGCAGTCACCTGAACTGGGAGAGACTTTCTGTCCAGGGTCCAAGTCATTCCCAGAGGCTGCTTTCAAATATGATGCAGAAATAGACGATGAACAATGATACCCCAACAGTGTAATTCATTAAGTGCCTAAACTGCGTGTCCTTAAATTTAAGCCAGTGTTTGCCGTTTGTTCCTCATAGATGCAACATTGGTTGCATTAAAAATGAATAGGAAAAAAATGGTAACAGCTGTCACCATCACCAGCTGCCTTGCAGAGATCTTGCACCATTGGAGAAGATTCACATGGAGAAGATTCAGATATACAAGTTCAAAGCAGATATTATGGGATTTTCTGCCTTGATATTCTGGGTTACATGGCTGTGTGGAAAGGCCTTAAGAGGCATTTCAGACACTCAGTCTATTCTGTGAACATTTCCAGTTGCAGTTGGTTGTCCAAGACTATGGCTTCTCTTTTTAAAGGCTTTATCAGACCTAGCCACAAGGAACAGTGTCTTCACCTCTGAGGAAGGGAGATTTTAGAAAAGGTTTCTGAAATGTATAGTTTGGTTTAAGTGCTGAAGTAAAGGAAGGGGTTTGTACAGAGACTATGGCAAAAGGGGGAATGGATGAAAAGAAGAGGTTGAAAATTAGCTGTTCAATTTGTGACTTATATAACAGACAGTAATCCTCTCAGCATCCATCTTTTTTCTCTGTCTTCCATTCTTTGCTTTGTAATTTCTTTTCTTTTGCTTTTATGCCTTTCCTTCTTTGCTCTCTCTTGCCCATCTCAATTCCTCCTATCAATGTTATGTTCAGTTCTTCCATCTTGCATCTTTTCTCTCAACTTTATGCTTTCATTCTTTGGGCCCATCCAGACAGGTATTTAACCCCAGACCTGTCTTGGCTTTACCAGAGACGTCCAAAAGATGTCCCCGGTGAAACCAAATTAATTCAGGTCAAAGCAAGTAAGCCCTGCTTTGTCTCAAATTAATTATTAGATAGCTGGTAAGATCTGGATCTTTGACAAGATACAGGTCTTCCCAGGTGTGGACCCAGTGTGGATTGGGCCTGAAGACTGTGTCATGCGATCCCCAGGCCCAATCCACACATCTAGCTTGAGTTTTTTGGGCTCTGTGAGCTCAGAAAACCAAGAGGGCACCCACCCTCTCCCTAATAGGAATGACATGCCAGTAAATGGGGGGGGGGGGTGAGGAGCATCAGGAGAGAGGTGGTGACAAGCCAGGAGAGGGGGACAAGAAGTCCAGCTGTACTTTAATGGCAACCGGGTAAGTTGTTTTAATTTTAAGGTCTTATTTTGTTGAGCTTCTGGGTATCTGGGTACCCTCCTAGAAGGTACCAGATGAACATTTAGAGACACACACCCCAAAAAACACGAGTTTTGGTGGGAAGTGCGGGAACTTAAATGCATGCCAAAGCGGGTTTCTTAAAACCACTTCGGTACGCATTTAAATTCAGTCTGGAAGCGCCCTTCTTTGCCCATATCTACCAAACCAGGGGCTCCCAGCAGCCCTCACTATTGGCTCTCCTATATTAATTTCTATCATATTAAATGCTTGATGAGAAATATTTTTGAGAATACATCAAGAAGCTCTTGAATTTCAACCAAATGGAGAAAACAACCAGCATCTTTTCCAAAAGCCTGAGAGCTTCTAAATGACTAAGTGGTTTTTAATCTACATTTGATGGGCTATTATTAAACATCTTTTTTAAGAAAAAGAAAATAATACTTTTTATATAGGTAGAGGTGTAACTGCTTCTAAGTAAAACTTTCAGGAATAAAATCATTGTTTCGCTGTCAAAAACTACAGCCAGGAGAACAACTTGAAAACCATGTAGTCTCTCATAATGTTCAAACAGGGAGGGAAATCAATCTGACAGATGTATATGTAGGTTTCCTATTCAGGGCACACTTTTAGGTTTCAACCCAAAGGAGATAATAATACCCCCTTTTGAAACATTATTTCAAGTTGCAGCAAGACTTCAGGCACTCTGGTTTCTGCTGTTACTATAGCTACTATATCTATAGCTACTATAGATACTATAGCTACTATAGCTACTATATCTCTAGATGCTGCATCACCTATCCCAACAGTCCTGTGCACCCCCACCATCATTCCCTGAAGTAAATCAAGCTCATGACTTAGCAATATGACTCTGTCCCATATCCAGACTTTGTGTAGATACACATAACTATGGATGATGTCAAAATTAACATGAAAAACTATGAATACAATAGAGTCCAATGATGTACCGATGTATAGGACTCCCGAAAAACTTTCAAAAATGTTTAAAGAGGTTTCCAACAGTTGTTGGAAATGTAAACAAGAAATGGGGTCTTTTTGCCACATGTGGTAGGCATGTAATAGTGCCAAGAAATATTGGATTCAAATCCATAAGTTGATTCAGAAAATTGGGGGGAAATATCCAGTTAAAGCCTCACATTTTTTTAGCTTGGAATGACTGATATAAGTTATGATAGTAAATTGTTGCAATATATGATCACAGCAGCAAGATTGCTCTATGCACAGAAATGTTATATGTCTAAGTGGCATTGAATTTTTGCCATGTGTATGTGCATTGTAATCCGCCCTGAGTCCCCTGTGGAGTGAGAAGGACTGAATAGAAATATTCTAAATAAATAAATAATATCTACTGGGTGACCTTGTACTAATTACACACATTATCAACCTGGGAGGAGAACAGTGACCAACCCCTTCTGCTATGAAAACTCTATGAAAGGTTCACC